GGTCCAATATATGAACCCATTGCGGCCCTCAAGTCAAAAAGTTTGCCCACCCCTGATCTATACTATAGTTTGTAGACGCTTGTAACTTTCACACAAAGCAATCAATATACACTTTTTTACCAAAAACATGTAGCAGAATACATTTTGGCCTAAATTTATAACTAACTTTGAGTTTTCTATATATTTTTTATAGCTGAAAGTAAAATATATTGTTTTTCTTCAAACTTTTTGGTCTTTTTTTGCTTATAGTGTGAAAAATAAAAAGCGCACAGGTGATCAAATACCACCGAAATAAAGCTCTATTTGTGTGAAAAAAAAAGGACGTAAATTTTGTTTGGGTGCAGCATTGCATGACAGTGCAATTATCAGTTGAATTAGTGCAGCGCCGAGTAGCAAAAAGAGGCCTGGTCAGGAAGGGGGGTAAATCCTCAGGAAGCAAAAATATAAGACTTTTCTCTTTAACAAATAAATAAAATAAAATAAAATAAAACCAACATAAAAAGCATAAAAAAACATAAAAATTGTCCAAAGTATCAAAATATCAAAAATTCAAAAAATAGTCCCCACCAGTGTAAATAATAGTTCTCTTTCTTCTTTCGTCAAAAAACTCCTTCTCAATACCCGCAAATCCTGATGACAGTACACCATATATAAGAAACAACAGGGCATAAACACCACTCTGGGTTAATTTCTCCTCATAACGATTTCATCCAATGCTAGGGTTTTTCTTCCATTATCCTCACAAGAAAATCCACAGTCACAGATAGTAGATAAAAATATCCTCCTTTATTTGGTAACTCACATTAAAATTGGAGTGAAGCAGCTCCTCCTCACAGGGATACAAGTGTAGATAAGTTCAGGGAAACATTGGCCACATGTTCCCACTTCCAAGATGGCCGCGATCGCACTTCCGGTCAGCGTCGATACGTCTGACGTCAGACGTATCGACGCTGACCGGAAGTGCGATCGCGGCCATCTTGGAAGTGGGAACATGTGGCCAATGTTTCCCTGAACTTATCTACACTTGTATCCCTGTGAGGAGGACTGTCACTCCAATTTTAATGTGAGTTACCAAATAAAGGAGGATATTTTTATCTACTATCTGTGACTGTGGATTTTCTTGTGAGGATAATGGAAAAAAAACCCTAGCATTGGATGAAATCGTTATGAGGAGAAATTAACCCAGAGTGGTGTTATGCCCTGTTGTTTTCTTATATATGGTGTACTGTCATCAGGATTTGCGGGTATTGAGAAGGAGTTTTTTGACGAAAGAAGTAAAGAGAACTATTATTTACACTTGTGGGGACTATTTTTTGAATTTTTGATATTTTGATACTTTGGACAATTTTTTATGTTTTTTATGCTTTTTGTGTTGGTTTTATTTTATTTTATTTATTTGTTAAAGAGAAAAGTCTTATATTTTTGCTTAATTGGCCTTCAAGGGTGGAGGTGGATAACTTTTCTTGGATATCATAAGGTGATTTGTTGCTGTGTATAATATAAATCCTCAGGAAGACAAGTGGTTAACAAAAGTTTTCTAACAGTCCTGTTTGACAAAAGTCAATTGTTAGGTTGACATCTGTCAAGCAGATGATGGTTCATAATTCTGACTGTCCCTGATGAACTGGTCACATTTTGTTCCATCTATAGGAACTTAGAACACACTTTGTGATTGTGTCTGTCACTGCATTCATGTAAAAGCAGAGATACATTTTTTCAGCTATCAGCACCAGCTTCTGTTTCAAAACCTTCAAATCTTTTCCTAATCTCCTAGGTAACTGAACAATGCACTGTTTGTGGGTCTGCGTGTAAAAATAGAGATTTTTTTTCATTAAGCAAAAGCATGAACATTTAACTTCCCCTTCCCTCAGTGAGCTTTCCCTAACTATTCCATATCTGTTATAGTACTCACTAAAAAAATGGCTCTTGTAAACCTTGATTTTTTTTTTAGGCGGGGGCTGCACATTGAAAAAAAAAAACATTATTGGCCCTTCCAAGCCTACTGACTACGGTTCAGAGGGCAGAAAACTGCATGATTGGTAATAGTTTGCTATGGTGATTTGATGGACAAACAGCTTTGTGATTTTTTTCCATAAATACTCTTCTTATTATATTTATTTTTACTTTTCCTGCAATCTGACTAGATACCATTGGGTTGATTTTACTAAAGGCAAATAGACTGTTAACTCTGCAAAGTGCAATTGCACTCTGCAAGAGCAGTTGCTCCAGAGCTTTGTAAATGAGCAGAAGCTCTGCTGACTTTCATCATCCAATCATGTGCAAGCAAAAGTGCTTTTTTTTTTCAATTTTCCTTGCACGTGATTGGGTATTCCTTGCAAAGTGAATCTTTATCTCATTTACAAAGCTCTGGAGCAATTGCACTTACAGAGTGCAACTGCACCTTGTATGGTGTACAGTCTATTTGCCTTTAGTAAATCAACCCCTTTGACTTTTTTCTCAAACTGGCAAATGCTATAGTTTAAGCCAAATAATAACCCCACTCCCAGCTTTTTGTGTTCAGTGTTTACCTGAACATATGCTATAATGTTGAACCCTGAGCCCGGCTCCTCTGGAGAGGAAACTCAACTGTCGTCCAGAGATCACTTGCCTGACAGTTCCAGCTTCTTTCAGTGCCGGATGCTGAAATGCAGAGAGCATTCTGACACACCACTGCCGCTCTGCATATCATGGCGGATGCACTGGGGCATCCTCTAAGTAGTGGTACCTGGTGTGTAATTAATAGTGGTGGTACCTGGTGTGTAATTAATAGTGGTGGTACCTGGTGTGGCTTCAATAGGTTTATAATTTATTATTGCTTTGAATATACACACTATACAAAAATATAATGGATTTTTATATGTGCCTGATTTTTCTTTAGTAGTGTTACATTTACAAACATTTAATAAAAAGACAAGCTGTGCAGATGAAGTCCTTTCTTTACATAAAAGTTACACAATAATAACAGATATACATAATGTATAGGTTAATATAAAACACATTTTCTCATATATCAGTATATTAAAAGGAAAAAATATAGTTATTTTAAGAAATAACTTAGTCATAGTAGCGGATTTCAATAAAATGTGTAAATATGAAACCGTTTATCTTTTTAAACGTTATTTGAAATGCACTCAGGGACGTATTTACCATGTGGCAAACAAGGGATGGATGTCATTTTTCAGGGGGGTGACGCCCCCTACCACCCCCCCCCCCAGGAAGAAGGGACATGGGGCAGGAGACAGAACATGGGGACCAGGTGAGGCACTGTCTGAGCTCTGCCATGAGATGAAAGAGAGACTGTGGGCTTCTGGAGGGTTTAAGTAGAGTCCATCCTTTGTTCCAGCACAAGGGCAACACTGGGGATGGCTGGCTGCTTTCATTCTGGAGAGGTGCAGGTGAGTGCTGGAAGAACGCATCTCTCTGTGGCTTCAGGCATGGCGGGCTGCTCTCTCTCTCTCCCTCCCCTCTCTTTTTTTTCATATTTGGGTGGGATGCACAACTTTTGTGTTGTCTAGGGCAGCACAAAAATAAAGTACACACTGAATACACTGCAATATACTGTAAAGCTACCACTTATAAAGAAAAAAAAATCTAAATGTTAGGGCTAATTACATCATAGTTTATGTCATAGTTTTGGTTTGGATAAAAAGAAATTAAAACACGATGGAAAAAGTTACAGATTACTGTTACTGTATATACTTGCAGGCTTGTTTATAAAGACAGAGCTACACAAAAAGTGCAGTAAACCACAGCAACCAACCAGAATCTATCTTGCACCTACATTACTAGAGTTAGCTGAAATTGCATTGGTTTCTCGGGGTTACTGCAAATGCATAAACATGAAAAAAATACCCTGGGAATGAACCCCGGTTAACAGCGGCGGTGAATTACACATCAAAAAACTAAAAAGGAGGTGTGGCTTGCCAAGATAGACGGCAGATCTAGAAGCTCCGGAACACAGTGGGACTTCCTGAGCCACTAGTGGCTTCCGCAAGAGAAAGGAGGAACATAAGCCCAGAAAACTGATGTCTTTCTTCTCCCAGCCTTGGAAGCAGTGGGAACAAGATGGTGCCAGCTCTTTCCCCTCTGCTGCATGTTTTCCTTCACAGGCAAGCAGTAACAGCAGCAGGGGACATAAGCAACAACAGAACGATTCCCAGCTGACAAGCCCACAATCTGGAAGCCCAGAGAAAGACAGATTTTGGATGAGTGACCATTCACAACAGCATTCAGAGGTGACCTCTAATCAGGGGCGGACTGACAACTCATGGGGCCCCCTGGGCAATAGGGGATCATGGGGCCCCTGTGTCCTCACCCACACTCAAACCACACCCAAAAAAAGCCTATGAAAAGGTACCAGGGACATCTCATGGGGCCCCCTACTGACCCCAGGACCTCGGGCAGTGCCCGAGTTCCCCAATGGTCAGTCCACCCCTGCCTCTAATCATGAATCCCAAGATGATACCAGGGAATTACCTGACTCCATCACATCTTTCCCTACTAAAAATCAACCAGTGTTAGATACAACACTGAAGGATATGCTAATATTCTTAACCATCTCCCGCCCGCCGTATAAGGTCATGACGGGCGCAAGGCGGTTTTCTCATTCTGGGAGGACGTCATGTAACGTCCTCCCATTCTAACTGTACATGCGTGGCTCTGGGAGCGCACAACGATCAACGGAAAGAGCTGAAGATGTCGGCTCAGTCATGTGATGAGCTGTGTCCAATCACAGCTGATCACATGTAAATAGGGAAATGCCGGTTATCGGCATTTCTCTCCTCACGAGCTGTCGCGCTGACAGCTTGAGAGAGAGAGGAGAGCCGGTAATCAGCATCCCTCAGAGGGGACATGTGCTATGATCATCAGGGCACTGATGATCAGTGCCCTGATGATCAGTGTAGCCCCATCAATGCCACCTGTCAGTGCCCATCAATGCACATCAATGCCACAGATCAGTGCGTACCAGTGCACATCAATACCACATCAGTGCCCATCTGAGCTGCCTTTCAGTGCCAACAATCATTGTCAGTCAGTGCTGCCTATCAGTGCCAGTCAGTGCTACCTAACAGTTCCAGTCAGTGCAGCCTAACTGTGCCAGTCAGTGCTGCCTATCAGTGCCATATATGAGTACTGCCTTTCAGTGCCCATCAGTGATGCCTTTCAATGCACATCAGTGCCACCTACTAGTGCCTCCTCATCAGAGCCCATCAGTGCTGCCTATCAGTGCAGCCTATAAGTGGCCATCACTGCAGCCTTATTAGCATACATCAGTGAAGGTAAAAAATTACTAATTTACAAAATTTATAACAGAAACTAAGAAGAAACTAATAAAAAACCCAGTGGTGATTAATTAACACCAAAAGAAAGCTCTATCTGTCTCAAACAAATTATAAAAATTCCATATGGGTACAGTGTTGCATGACTGTGCAATTGTCATTCAAAACCGCGACAGCACTGAAAGGTGAAAATTGTCCTGGGCAGGAAGGAGGTATAAGTGCCCTTTAGGCAAGTGGTTAATGGATATTATGCCTTCATTTATCCATTTTGACCAATCTTGTTTTGCAAAGGGAGACAGGCGACAGATGCAACATGGAAACTTCTCAATATAATCCATCTTGCAAAACAGAACAAAACGCCTTCTCTGCTCCTTGCTCTGGATGCAGAGAAGATGTTTGACAGACTATATTGGGGATATCTTAATAAAGTATTGTCTAAATTTGGGTTTGGTAAACAGATCCTTTCAGCCATCATCGCTCTTTATACATCACCATCTGCTAGAGTCTACTCCTCTGGGATGCTCTCTCTACCCTTTCAAATAACCAATGGAACTAGACAAGGGTGCCCACTATCACCACTAATATTTAATTTATTGATGGAGCCCTTACCATCTTATATCAGAGAACATCCTGATATACATGGTTTTACAGTAGGATCTCATGAACATGTCATTAGTTTATTTACAGATGATATAATACTTATGCTCACCCAACCAATAAAATCTCTGGAAGTGCTGTACTAATCTTTGCAATTATTCAATCGAATGTCCTATTACAAGGTTAATTCATTGTTATCTATTCATGTCATTGGATCCCTCTGTTCGATGGGTGTCTGTCAATTTAGTTTGTCAACTACTCCTGGGGCTCTTGGCTACTTTAGGATCCCCCCCCCCCCTGCAAAGAATCAACTAATAGATCGTTTTCTGTTTGCTCCACTAGAGGTTTCAGCTCCATTCATCTTCTTGTCCTTACTTTTATACTTCAGAGATCAGAGTATTCCCTCCTCCTACTATTTCCTTTCCCATTTCTTTTTCCTCTCCCCCCCCCACCCTCATTTCTTCTTCCCCCCTATTCCTATCCTTCTGGTTTTGTCTTTTTTGTGTTCTTTTTTTTACATTTGTGCATTGTGTTGCAGAAACATACAGATCATAGCGTCATCATTCCATCACATATAAGAAAAAACTGTCTTTGTATAAAAGTCTGTATTGTTTCTATTTCTTTATTGTTCCTTTATATTTGCTTGTTTACAACGTACAAGTGATGTATGTGTTTCTTTGATAAAACCCAATACATATTTCTTTAAAAAAAAAAAAAAGAAATATATTTACATTGTAAAGAATAGTTAATATGTTCTTTCCTATTGCTATAGTTGTAATTATAAGTATGACCTTTATATCTTGTACAAATGTTTGATATAGCCAATCTTGGCCTTATTTGTTTAAATGTAATCTACTTATTTTGAAAAAACAATAAAAATCAATTGAAATTAAAAAAAAACAAAAAACACCAAGGGTGAGGTATATATATAGAAATCTCAATGCTTTATTACAAATATTAATTAAAAAAATATCAAGGTATCATTAGTATCTAAGGGGGGGAGGTCTATCATGATTCACTGATATTTTTTGTATTACCGTTTATAATAGAGCATTGATATCTCTCTCTATATATTTTTCCCTTGGTGTTTTTTGTTTTTTTATTGATTAGTCAGTACAAGCTTCTTGGGGTATAATTCACCTCTGTTTCCCAGGGTTCTTTCCCAGTGGTTGTTTTTTCATGTTTATGCTCACAGTTGTATCCCCACACCTATTTAAGTGAGTAGGCATCCGACTCATAAATACTGATTTACATAATAGACTGGTAACGTTAATAACAGAGAATACAACATTTAAAAGCCACCTCTGTACAATTAATCCAATGTAATAGTGGAATTTACAATGACCACCACTATATCAGGGTCTGGTGATTGATTAAAAGGGACTGGGGATGTTAGTGGTGGCTGAATAAAAGGAGGGCTACACAGGATTTGAAATGATGGCATATAACTATAAAGAGGCTAGAAATGAGCTGCCCTTATCAATATTATGTTGTTAGGTATTATAAATATAATATAATAAAACAATTGCAATCTGATATATTTTCTGATGCTATTTGATGTTTTATATATATATATATATATATATATATATATATATATATATATATATATATATCATGGCCTGATGGAGGAGCATGCATGCTCCAAACACATGCCACACCCACTGATGCTGTACCTGGAGCTGACATCACTCCCACCTGCCCTGAGAATCCACACTAACCTGGAAGTACTGGGAGCCACCAGCACAGCCAAGGACAGTGCTTTAGAGACCTGCCTGCAGTGGGATCAGCCAGGAGTTGCACAGTGGTTGACACCAGTTTGGCAATCACTGATTTGACTACTACTATTGTGAGTTGCCAATTTTGTGGAAATAAATTAATTGCTTATATTATTGCACTTAGATGGTGCTACTTCTTTCTCTTTTATGGTTCTTCACTGAGCCAAGCATTCTTGGACTATCCCTTAATCCCTTAACCACTTCAATACTGGGCACTTTTACCCCCTTCCTGCCCACACCAATTGTCAGCTTTCAGCGCTGTCACACTTTGAATGACAATTGAGCGGTCATGCAATGCAACAATTGTTATCATTTTTTTTCACACAAATAGAGCTTTCTTTTGATGGTATTTAATTACCATTGAGTTTTTTTATTTTTTGCTAAATAAAACAAAAAAAAAACCTGAAACTTTTGAAAAAAGTTATAAAATTGTTATAAAATGTTACAAATGTATAACATTTCTTCATAAATTTAGGTCAAAATGTATTCTGCTTTATTTCTTTGGTAAAAATATCCCAAATTAGTGTATATTATTTAGTCTGTAGGAAAATTATAGAGTCCAGAAACCAAGGTGTATTTATATATCTGACAACTGATCAATCCTGATGTACTGACGGCCCATCTCATTTCTTGAGACAAGATAGTACAAATACCCCCCAAATCACCCATTTTTGGAAACTAGACAGTTCAATATATTTAGTAAGAGGCATGGTGAGTTTTTTTTGGCGGTTTTAATTTTTTGTTACAAGTTTTTGGAAAATGTAGAAATTAAGAAAAAAAAAAAATCACAATTGTTTTTTTTTTTTTTACATTTTGTCACCAGTCCAGTACAGCATTATTATATAACTGGCGGGGCAGTGATCAGAGACACTGACTGGTGACAGTATGTAAAAAAAATAAAAATAATAATAATGTCATTTGTATTTTTTAAATTTTTTTTTTATTTTTAATACATTATTTTTTCTTTTTTTTTTACTACTATTTTTTTTTCAGCACACTGTGATCAAAGCAGTACAATGTTACCATAGTATCATTGAAATACTCTGTGCAAGTGATCAGGATTTTTTTTTAACACATTATGATTGCTAATACCAATGTATTTCATAGATATTTACCATCATTGTTACTGAATAAAACTGATTCATTCAGTCTTTTGTTGTGATTAGCTGTGATTGGGCAAAGCTCATCACATGATACAGATGGGCTGTGATTGGCCCTTTTTGTATCATGTGACTGCTTTGACCAGTCATAGTTAACAACATAACTGTATACAATGGAGAATGGCATGACAGGAAGCCATCCACTGTATACAATTGACATGTGATCTGCTGTGATTGGTCACAATTGTCACATGACACTGGCAACGGGCCGTGTAGTGATATGTCATCAGCTGTGTTTCGTGAATGCCCTCATGATGCCCAGTCACAACAAGGAGTGTCCCGCCTAGCCATCAATCTGCTATAGGGAAGGTGTTAAGGTCAGGCACTGATGTTGGAGGAGAAGGCCTGGCTCGCGGTCTCCAATCAAATTCATCCCAAAGGTGTTCTATCGGGTTGAGGTCAGGACTCTGTGCAGGCCAGTCAAGTTCCTCTACCCCAATCTCGCTCATCCATGTCTTTATGGACTTTGCCTTGTGCACTGGTGTACAGTCCTAATGGAACAAGAGGTCATCCCCAAACTGTTCCCACAAAGTTGGAAGCATGAAATTGTCCAAAATATATTGGTATGCTGACACCTTAAGAGTTCCCTTCACTGGAATTAAGGGGCCAAGCCCAACCCCTGAAAAACAACCCCCCACCATAATCCCCCCTCCTATCAGCTGTAATGCTGATATTTTTCCCTTTAGTCCCACATGTGGACTGTTCCTACCATGCTATGGCTGAGAAGCTAAACTATTAACTGGGGTCCAATTGACTGGTGGTCAAATTTTACCTTACTCTTGCACTGGTCTGGCAGCCTTAAGTGTCACCTGATTCCCCTTGCTATTTGATACAGGGCAATTCCCTGTTCTTGTCTGGCAATCTATTTACTATTAGGAAAGACAACCTTTGATGTATCGTGTAGGATGGAGCTTAGAGAACAGTCAGTGTAACACAGCACCAGACAGGACTCAAGGAGGATGCAGTGTGAGATAAATAATGCTATCTCTCACACCAACCAGAGAAAGCTGGGAGCAGATGATCCTGTTTATACTATTTTAATGTAAGTATGTATTTAATAAAGTATTTTTAAACACAGTGAGCACTATATTTGTTCATCATATTCCCTTTGAGATAGATGTTTGGGATTATCCTTTATTATCAGCGGAGAGATTGAGCATGTTTATCAATTGCAGCTCTTCCTGATTGTCTTAAAGGGAACCTGCCTAATAGATCTTTTATCATTTTAGTGCCAGTTCACAAATATGCAGATTGGATAAATTGGTGAAAAAACATTGCTTCCTATGGTACCTGTTCACATATGTCCGGTGCACTGACGGTGCAGATTCAGTGTGGATTCAGTGCAGTTTTAAAAAGTCCTGTACAATTTCTGAGCAGTGCGATCCAGTTCAGGTGCAGATTGCAGGCTATTTACTTCTTTGAGAACCATTTCTATCCAACATACTGTATGTGTGAACAAGATAAGATCCTGAGCTAAACTTGTCCTGAACTTGACA